GTAGGCTTGCTGGTCTATCACTTCCTGGCCTCTCCACCAACTGTACCTCCCAAAGGCTACCTGACCGCCCTCACACACTCAGACACACCACACACACACACACACACACACACACACACACCAGCGACTGTGACCAGCAATAGCCCCCTGGCTGCAGCTGTCCTGTAGCTGGTGACTAGCTGTATTTCCCCCTGGGTAGGCATCTGTTGTCAGGAAGGGACGCTGAGAGGCTGCAGCCTCAGCTCTGATTGCAGGAATACTCCACCCTGGTACACCACACCACACAAAGTGGGGGACAGAGAGGCATCACACAGACATCCTGAGCCCAGACAAAGATGCCATGTCACCAATTCCGACTCCCAGGAGACCCGCTCTATAAACACCCACCCCAAACCACACCACCCAGAGTCTGGTGGAGAAGAGGAGAGGGCAAGGCGCAGTGACTGTACCTCAGACGGGGGCATGGGCCCCATCCCACATTGTCTTCCATTCCCAGGGTCCAGGGGATGGGGTGGGACGGGGGAGGGATACCAGGGAGGGGGTGGGGGGCCCTGGGGGCCGTGTGTTCCAATTCATGGGGAGTGTTGAGACCACCACACCAATAAACGCCTTTTTCCAAAGTCTGCCTGCAGGTGTCAATGTCCTTAAGAATTCGAGTTAATGAAGGGCAAAGGGTAGCAATCAACTGATGGTGCCTCTCCAGCATCATTCCTACCACCTGCTTTCTCATTGGTAGACTTGGAATGGACTCATTACAGAGGTGCCCTGTGATTGGCCTAAGCCACTCAGCATAGCCCATTTCGTGATTGGCTTGGAGATGGGCACGTGACCTGGTAAGGCTAATGGGAGAGTGAATGGATTCCCAAGAAGAGATGCTTTTCTGCTGGATATTGTGGCTCCGTGATGTGAGGTCTACATCTGTAGGTTGCTTTTCTCCATCACATGGAGAGATCTTGGGTCTGTGGGGATAGCAGTGGTGGGGAGGGCTGCATATGGAGCCTGAGAATGATAAGAACACTGTGAAGTGCAGAGTGGAAACCTTAGAGAAACTGAGTCCATGATGATATCATTTGAGTAGCTGGATCAAAACTTAACTGATGCCCATCTTCACTTGTATAAGCAATAAAGTCCCCTGTATATTTAAACCAATTTGCATTGGATTTTCTATCTCTAGTAATAAAAAAGAACGCAAACCCTGAGAGATACAGAAAAGACATAGAGGGCCCAGAACCTCAACCCTCACCTTTCCAAAAGGATCCAGGGGTTCTATTTTCCACTGGCCTTTTCTACCCCCCATCATGAACCAGAAGTTCTCTCACATGCTTTCCTTCCCTGAGACAGATGCTGGTTACCCACATTTGTTTGGTTCCCCTTTCTTCTTTGCTGGAAGATCTACCTGTTATGATACAGGCTAGATATTTGGTTTCTCAGCCTCCTTTGCAACTAAGTGGCCAGTTTGGGCCAAAGAGACATAAATGGAAATTTGCTTGTAGGTTTCCAGGAAAGCTTCCCTCCCACCCCATGAGAGGGAAGAAGGCAGTGATAGAGGGAGGTAGGGGGTGGGGAAGATGTAAGAGAGGAAGTTCTGTCCCCTTCCTTTTATCTTTGGATACAGTTGTATGAAGACGCGATGACTGGAGCTGCAGCAACCATCTTGCTACATGAGGCAACATGCTTAGTGTCAATGTGCCAACCCACTGAGGGTGGCAGAGCAGATGGATGCAAAGGGCCCATGTTTCAATGGCATCACTGAGCTGCTAAGCCAGCCTGAAACCAGCCACCTTCATATTTCCTGCCACCATTTTATTTTGTTACTTGCAGTCAAAAGAATCCTCACCAATGCACTCTCTAAATTCTCAATTAGAAACCCAGCTGAAAAAGCAAGACTTATGCTGAAGACAGCAGCGGCAAGCCCAGCTCTTCACCGGCACCAAAACATCGGATCAGTCAACAAGTATTTATTGATTGCCTGCTGCGTGCCAGGCTCTGGGTTAAGTGCTGAGATAATGATGTGGTCTCTGCTTTCGTAAAGCCCTTAGTTTAGACAGAGAGTCTCAGGCCACACAAGTAATTACATATTTATGTATCAGAAACGGCAAATTCAAGGATTCTGGGACTTAACCCAAGACTAAGGGAGGGGTAGGGGAATGGTTGTCTAAGATGGCAATTGTTACTCTTAGACTTGAGAAATGAATGACATACGGGAAAAAGAAGTGCTACAAGCAGAGCAAACTCTAGGGGCAAAATAAATTGTGGCTGAGAGACAGCCTGTGATACTGGAGTCAGGGGGCAGAGAAACAACTGGGAGGGGAGGTCAGGGAGGCCAACAGAGGCCAGACCACAAGGTTTCTGAAGGTCACGACAAGGAGTTTGGATAATATCTGAAGGGAAATGCACAGGCCCTAGAAGGGTTTAAAGAGAAGAGGGACATGATCTGATCGGTTTGAAGATGAAGATGCTGGGAGCTGCATGGGGTGTGGCCTACAGGTGGCAAAGTGAATGTAGGGGGACTGTTTCAGAGAGCATGGCCAGGCTCCCTCTCTAGCTCAGAGCAACACAGCAAGCCCTGCCTGTCTGCTGCAGAGGCTTGGAGGCTGTGCAAACCACACAGTTCTATCAGCAGGAGTTTCCCAGCCAAGAAGTCACATCTCCTTACTTGCACAAATACAGGAAGACTCTTCCTCTGCAGCAAGAGAGGGAGACAGAAAGTCCCACTTTCAGGGTCCAACCCTCAGTCATAGCAGGCCCTGCCTGCTGCTGGAGTGAAATAGGAAGTTCTGGCCCAAAATGCCCTGTGCAGGGCAGGCCACTGGCTCTGATCACACCTGTGTGGCTGTCCGAACAGTCTTTGAGCTTTCGTCTACAGAGACGACTGGACTGGAGTCTGTGGCCTGGAAGAGAGAGGTGGGGTGCGGGGAGAACTCACTAGTACCCTGGATGTAACATGACTCACCCCCCGAACTTTTTCCAGCTCTTGCTTGAACTTTTTAGAGATTATCTGGGAACCCTCCATTTGGAGAGGGGAAAAAAAAAATGTCTGGCTATCGGTGGAGTGAAGACAGCCAACAACCCAACCCAGTTTTGTTTTTTTTTTAAACCGGGTCTCGCTCTGTCATCCAGGCTGGACTGCAGGCTGGAGTGCATCCAGGCTAGAGCTCACTGAAGCCTCGACCTCCCAGGCCCAAGCAATCCTCCCACTTCAGCCTCCCTAGTAGCTGGAACTACAGGCACATGCCACTATGCCAGACTAATTTTAAAATTTTTTGTAGAGATGGGGTATCCCTATGTTGCCCAAGCTGGTATCGAACTCCTGGGCTCAGGCGATTTTTTCTCCTCAATGTCCCGAAGTGCTGGGATTACAGGCATGAGCTACCACGCCCGGTCACAACAACCCCTCTTTTATGGGGAAACGAGGAAACTCCACCCCACTTCATAGAGAAAAATGGGTCTTGCCTAACTTTTATGGAAAAGAAAAAAGGAGGGGCCAGGCATAGTGGCTCATGCCTGTAATCCCAGGACTTTGGGAGGCTGAGGTGGGCGGATCACTTGAGGTCAGGAGTTTGGGACCAGCCTGCCTAACATGGTGAAACCCTGTCTCTACTAAAAATACAAAAATTAGTCAGGCATGGTGGCATGTACCTGTAATCCCAGCTACTCAGGTGGCTGAGGCAGGAAAATCTCTTGAACCCAGGAGGCGGAGGCTGCAGTGAGTCGAGATGGCGCCACTGCACTCTAGCCTAGACAACAGAGTGAGACTCTGTCTCAAAAAAAAAGAAAGATCCTATCTCATCCTGCTTTGTAAGAGAAACTGGAATTCACTCTTTCACTCTAATTTTAATATACATCAAAGTTAGGCGGGAAGCTCTGTCCAACTTTGATGCATTTTTAAAAAGGATGAAGTTATACAGACTGTAAACTAACAAGTAAAACTGGAGTTAGATAATGGAGACCCTCTCATCTCCCTGACTATAATACAAGAAGTTCCGCCCCAATTCTAGGAGGAAAAGAGGGCACCCACACTCACTTGGTAGGCCCTAGTTGAGCTGTGGTCCTCCAGCGGGACTTTGAGGTCCAGAGGCCATGAAATCTCCACTGGGGTCACACTGTGCATCTTCTTTTCTGAGGGGGTGGCCACGGGGACCAAGGTAGAAGGATGCTTCTTTTTCTCAGGAGTCTTTCCTGATTGAGAGGAGGAAAAGAAGCAGGAACACCTGATTAGTTGCCCCAACATGCCAACCCAGCCAATAGCAAGGGAAGCTGGTCTGAGAGGCGGAGCCTTATGCTGATTGGCAGGATGGATGACCTATGATGGTGCTGATTGGCTCAGTCAGGTCTTCCACC